TTTTTATTTATGTTACATTACACTATTTAATTATAGTCAGTAGTTTAATTTCTTTTTGAGCATTATTCAAACACACTATCCGCAAGACTCTAATTTATGGACGAGCCAATCAGAGGCGTCTGAAAGATTTCAAGGTTACAGCGCCAACTTCAGTGTTTAATGTTAACGTACGATCGGTTCACAGGGAATTTTGTACAAAACGTGGTAATTGAGCGGCTATAACAAATAAAACGGCGAAACTATAATTTGTGGATGAATCAATCAGGTACAAGATAATAGATCTCGGATTTTAACACAAAAGCCTATTATCCATTTGGCTAAATAGGTTTCAGGCATTATAGCTATTGTCAGTTCGTGATGAAAACCCCATATATAATTCCCAACTGAGGCAAATTACGACAATTATCGCGAACTGGATAATAGAAGTACCAGTAACACTGGCTGCAGCCAGGTACTACAATATATAGGGATGAGTGGAGAGCGTACAGACTCATATGTAGGCTTGGTCATGTGCGTCATGTCATTATCCAGAGGTGGCATTTTGTGTACTGAACAATCGAAGTGCACACAAATAATATTGAAGCTATGTGTTCGAGGCTGAAAGAGTTTTTGAGTCTTTATCATGACTCCAGAGCCGACTATTCTGTAGCCATATTGATGAGTTCCTCTGTTATATACGTTATGAATTTGGAGCGTTTGAACCTCTTTCTAACTTTGACAGGTTTTTCAACCACGTATAAGAAGTGTATCCACTTTCTTTGGTTTTTTATAATATATTTTTCCTCAATACTGACTGGTTGATGATTGCCTAATATTTCTCTGGGTCACTTAAGATTCGTTCAAAGGTCGTCTCGACAAATAGATCAACAATACGGATTGCACAAAAAAACTTCTTTACATTTAACTTTCTATCATCGTTTGACTCTTATCTACATTGTCCTACATTTGAACTTGAGTATCAATACCAGTTAAATAAATGAGTGTGTTTAAATTTACAATGAGATCATATAAAGGAATACTATGAAAAGAAAGTAATATAATTCGGGTGAATAATGAGATGACATGACTTATGAGACTATGTAATAAAAGGCTAATCACAAATTATTTTATTTTATAATGTAGGGCCAGCGAAATGTCATTAAGCTCTAGCCAAATCATCCGGCAGTTGGGCCATTGAATATCGAGCAAATCATCGATCCTCGTCAAGGTCAGGGACAACCAACGCACATCAGTTAATCGTATGCCATGGACTGACCCATGCGGCAGTGATCTTAATTTCGCTTGTATCTGCTTTAACTAATATATTTCTGTTATAATATCCTCTGTGTTGTACAGTCTTCAAAGCATCTATACGTCAATGGGGTAGTCCACGTAGGGTGCTGACCACGAGGTGTGACTTCGACGTTAGCTAGTTTGTCACACCATTCACGTCTAACTCGAGTAGGCCTCCAATCATTTCGACATAGATCATCCACGTTGGTGATCTACGATAACTAATATAACTGAGGATCGTGGTGCTTTTATATTTTTCTATTCCTAGCCTTTCGTTTAATCCGCAAACTATTGTCATATTTATTAATATCCCAGATTTATCGTCAACTAGTTATTATCTTAACACTCTGGTCTTGTATTGAGTACAAACCATGATTTTCTAATCGTGTTGTCATATAATCAGACATTTCAAATACATTATCGCTTGGGTTTTAAGTTGAAATCGAATTCAGTACAACAGAAAACTGATCTGCCCTTCATCTTCGTCTTTTGACTGGCCACTGGGTAAGAAAAAGCTTTAGATCGATACATTATAGAGCGCTGATTGTTATTTACTGACTGATGTATTAATTGGTGGATAGAAGGCCTACGGTTCTACTGCGAATGTAGGTGAACTAATCGGTAACCAGAGTAGAGAGAAAGTACACAATCGATGTCTTGTCGTTACGGCCAATTCACACGGACTGAGATACAATCCAAGTGTCTGTTCTTCCAGCGTAAACTAAATAACCAATCAGTTGGCTAATGGGACTGAAGTTATAGACAGCACAATATTATCCCACAAATACATACACAAAGCTTCATGGGTCTCTACGTATCACACCACGAAGTAATAGATCGACCATATCTGCATCAATCAAAAATTCGGAAGGACAATGGAAAACGTAAGAATCAGGAAAGCAGCTGACGTGGCTTCAAATCACCACCTGGTTGCGGCCAAGATAAAACTGAAGCTAAGAAGCATTGGACAACTGGGCAAACAGTATTACAAAGGTTCAATACAACCTTCATTCAACATACTGTCAAACTCAAAAAATTCAAAATAGCTCTCGACAACAGGTTCCAAGTCTTACAGGATCTACGGGAAGAAAAATAAATTACTGTGCATAACAACTGGAAGGAGATGAAAGAAACTTTAACTTCAACGTGTCTGGAGGTGCTGGGCCGTCAGAAGTGTCGTCATAAGGAATGGATCTCTATCGAAACCCTGCACAAGATTCAAGAAAAGTAGAAAAAAGACAGCAATTAACAACAGCCGAATACAAACAGATAAATTCAATGCACAGGCTTAATACATCAAAGCAGACAAGCGAGTGAAGAAGAGCATAAGAGACGATGAGCAGAAATACGTGTGAGATCTAGCAACGACAGTGGAAAACTCCACAATATAAGGAAGTGTGACACAACAAAGAAATTGGCAGAAAAATATAGTAAACCAGTGAGGCCAATCAAAAACGAAGAAGCCAAGCCGATCACTGTGGGTCGCGAACAGAGGAACAGACTGACAGAACATCTTGAAGAACTCCTGACTAGGCCAGCTCCATTGAACCCACCGGACTTTGAAGCAGCACACACAGACCTTCCTACAGGTGTCGCTCCACCAACCATAAAAAAATCACGACTGTCATCAGACAAATTGAGATTGGGAAATCAAGGGGACCTGATTATATACCAGCTGAAACACTGAAGTCAGACACAGAAGTGACAGCAAGTATGTCTCACATTTTATTGAGAAAGATTTGGGAGGAGGAACATGTACCGACAGATAGCAAAGAAGGATACGTCACCAAGATACCATAGAAAGGAGATCAGCGCAAATGAAAGAACTACAGAGGAATCACCTTATTATCGGTACCACTAAACGTTTACAACAGTGTTGCTGAACCAGATGACGGAATAAGTAGACCCTCAGCTCCGATATTAACGGACAGGATTCCATAAGGATCAGTTGTGTACAGACCAAATCGCGCCACTACGGATCATCTTTGAGCAACCGATTGAATCAGACTCGTCACTATGAATCAGCTTCTTCGACTATGGGAAAGCCTTTAACTGTTTAGATAGGAAGACTTTACGGAAACGCCTTTGACACTACGGAACATATGAGATTGTCAATATCACATGGGATTCATACGACGAACTACAGTGCAAAGTCGTCCACAGTGGTCAGCTAACAAATATATTCCAAGAGAGGACCGGAGTCACTTTCTCTTTCGTCTTGTGGTCGACTGAATTATGAAGACGGAATACAGTGAACAACTGGGATGCGGCTAAACGATACGGACTCCACGAATGACCAAGCCTTTCCATCACACAACACGGAAAACACCAACCCAATCACAGTTGATGGCGAAACTCTGAAAACGGTGGAAACTTCCACGTACCTGAACAGCATAGTCGATGAAGAAGGAGGATTTGATGCAGACGTAAAGACGAGGATTGGCAAAGCGAGGGCCGCATTCCTACAATTGAAGGTCATATGGATCTCGAAATGACTGTCTGTAAACTAGCATCAAATTCAGAATCTTCAATACGAACGTCAAAAAAGTTAATTCTACTATACATAGCTGAAACTTGGGAAACTAATGCAGTCATCATCAAGTAGTACAGATATTTATAAACAATTGTTTACACAAGACACTGAATGTCTTTTGGCAGGATACCATCAACAACAACCTACTGTGGAATAGAACAAACTATTTTCCAGTTGAAGAGGAACTTAGGAAAAGACGCTGCAAGTGGATAGGCCGCGCATTGTGGAAATCACCAAACTTCATCACGATGCAAGCTCTCACTTGGAATACTGAAGCGAAAAGGAAATGAGGAAGACTAATGGATATATTACGTCGGTGACTGGAAGCAGATATCGAAAGAATGGATGGCAACTGAAAACAGCCGGAAAGGATTGCCCAAGACAGAGTCCGATAGTGAATCGTGGTAAGCGGCCTATGGTCCTACCATAGGGGTTACAGGCGAAAGAAGCTTGTAAGTGTTGTGGTCAGGTCTGTTTGTATTTAAACCATGTGTGTCTGAAATATACTATTCATACAGCGAAGTGTTATATTTATGTCCTGGACTGAACAGACTGAGCTAGGAGAAAAGCTACTGTATGGAGGGTCATTAAGGATTAAGAGTTGTACTGGTTAACGCACTATTGGTTTAGCACAGTGAGAGGGTGAGAGAAGTCGGTATTATGACCAGTAACTTTTTTACATGCTGATTGATAGAAACATAATTCATGACAAATATTAGGAGTGAGAAAAATTGAGAGTACGGGGTTTCGGAAGGATTCAAATAGATTGTCAGAATAATTTGGTCTATAATGAAAAGTACTAATTAATGCCTCCTGAAACATCTGCTAATCAACTAGCCTCTTCATGAAACGATCAAGAAGTGCTCCTCTTCGATTCAATAAGAGAATACATGTATCTCGGCATAAGGACTCAAAGGAAGGCTAGATCAGCCGAGAGATATGTTGGTTAACACTAGCCCAGGCCTCTTAGCCTTCATTCAAAAACTTACGTTCGTTTGCTGATAATTTCTGTAGAATTATGATATATCTTTATATAGCATCACACTGTAATTCCTCAAGCCACTGATACTTCTTCTTCCATTTCTTTCGCACATGTTCTTGAAAAGACGCCGATTACAATATTGTATAGTGAATATTGTAACTGTGGCACTTAAGTTTAGAGGAAGTATTTTGCCGCGGTATTCGATAGTTGGGAATGAAGGCGTTAATTGGTTTGTTTTCATTCATCTGGATTTACTTAATGCATCATCGGGCATTATTGCTGCATGTTCTGTATATGTATAAGTGTCTTTTATTTGTCTAGCGATATATATTTATGAGTTGCACTTTGTTTAGTTGGTCTGTTCCGTGAATATGATTCTTATTGTTATATACTGAGTAGTCAAATTAAGATCAATAGTTAATCCTACATTACACTAATCTGGACTTATATGCCTTTACTCTTCGTAAGCTTGGGACTTCCCAACCATCGAGTCAATGTATACAAATAGCCAGTTCGTGTAAAAACCCAGTCTTCAGTAATAAGGAGAGGAGGTCTATCGAGTTGTATTAATCCTTACAGTTTGTAATACTGTGGAGGTTCAATCTCGTTCTGAATATATCAACGTAAGGTGCTTATTCTACGTGTTCCGGTAGAGAAGTCCAGCAATTTACTAATTGGCGCGAGAAACGTAACTCCAGACGTAAAAGATTTGATCTCGGTTTTTTTTAACTTTCTTCGAATGTCCTCTCATATGACCAGTCCTAGACGAAAGTAAAAGACGAGACATGTTAATACCAAGGTCATCGTTCAGTATACGATAAGCCAATATTAGATCACCCCGTATTCTACGGTAAGATAACGGAAATAAGTTAAGGTGTCTCAGTCTATCTTCACAATATAGGTCAAATAGACCTTTTACCATCTTATTACCTCGTCGTTGGACTCTTTCCAGCATATCTGCTTCACACTTGATACAAGGACTCGCTGCTTGAATCCCATATTCCAAATGTGGTCGCACGTAAATCGGGTATAATAGTCTAAACATTTCATCTAAATACTGGAAAGACCTACGAATAGACCATAACACCCTATAGCCTTTCGCAGCAGCAGCCTTACAGTGACTAGTGGTTTTAAGACCACTGCTTAATATGACTCCTAAATCTTTATAGTTTCTTACTTTGAGTAGCACGAATTCATATATTGTGTAGTGATACGAATCATCAGTTATTTCATTGCATCACCACACTCTTATTAGGATTTACTTCTGGTGACCACCTGTCCAACCATGCCACCAATGAGCTAAGATCATCCTGTAATACTATTCTATCCGACATACTGTGTATGGGTATTTAAATTTTTATGTCATCAGCGAAGAGTAGAACGGATGATTTTGTTACGCTTGGCAATTCATTTGCATAAAGTAAAAAGAGAAGAGGACCAAGGGTTGTACCAACGACATATTTTTATTACGAAGTTTAGGATGGCTTTAAGACATTTGCTAACCTAAAACTAACTCTAGGGCCAAGAAATATTTGTCTGTAACTGGGGTCAGGTGACTTTTTCAAGTCGAAATATATGCTTAACGAAGCATCAACGAGATTTTTGTTCATGAAGTTGGTATGTCATTCAATCCTGACAAAACCAACTGTTTTATCTAAATTCTGACTGGTTTATTCCTCCAATTAGTCACTTCTGAGAATTGAAATTTTTAGATGTTCCAATTCTTTGTCTCAAGTGTCGCCAATAAACACATTTTTTTCAACACTAATTATAAATGTTTTAAAACATTTAATCTCGGCTTTAGCTGTAGTTAATTCTGAGTTTACGAATATCCGACTAGCCGTAGACTCAGCTGAAAATGTTACAACAGTCCTCTCTCTTATTACTTTTCAGCCTCTTAATAATGCTTAAAATCGATGAGTACCTGCCTTAAAGTTAGTAGGTAGAAGAATTAACAAGACTAAACCCTATTTAAACTCCCTAAACTTAGACTTCCAGTTCCATAATCACTTGAATTAAATTGAGATTATTGGTTTTATATCTGTTTCATTATCTACTGGTTAATACAGCTGAATACGGGAAATCCATCGATGACTTCCTTGGTGTAGATTCTCAACAAACAGTATAATCAGTTTCTCCACAAAAATGCCTAAAAATTCTCATAAAAATAGTCAGTAGCATTCATGGTAGCCGGTGACCAACGATTGGTTCATACGCCATTTGTCTATTCAGGATACTGGGGCCGATTTTCACGATTGGTTTGGAATGAGGGTTTTCTAACTCCCCTAGGTAGAACTCTCCATGTCGACCAACCCAATTAAAGTGCCGGGCATTCGCTTTTCGTCCTCTCAATTTCGTAAACAACACCCCCGCCACGAGAAGGTAGTGAGTAGGACTTCCCTGGCAGAGGCTGTATACGCATGGTCATGTGAGAGCATTTCGAGAGAGTGAGCTAACTCTGCCCACTCTCGGCCATATCAGGGCATTTGGGGGGCATTCATGCAAAGACTTCTTAAAGCTGTCCTGTTCCTTGTCTTTAAAAATTGAATACACATAAGTTCTTCTATACAACTATTTAGTGTGAATTGCAATCAATACCCTTACATTTATTGGATACTTATCGTTTGTTTTTTCTTCATTTCTTTAACACAGAAAAGTGTACATCAGAAAAAAATACACAAGATAATTGGGATTTAATTTTAGAAATTTGTGAAAAATACGCTAAACAAGAGTAGGAATTTTTTTCATTTTCAATTGTCTAGTTACATAGGCCAGCAATTTGTATTCAAACAATATGTAAACGAATATTTCATAAAAATCCAAATGTATCTATACGATCTATAACAGTAAGTAAACTATAATATTTATACAAATGATTCCCTAACTCCCCTTCCCCCCCCCGAAATGAAAGTTATTAGATGCATGCAGTAAAAATTGTGGTAAACAATTTAATCGAGAATTAGCTTCAAAAGATTTTTCACAATTAATCAAGAAAAATTTTTCGGTAATCATAATTCTGATTTTATTCAAAGTAACTTCATTGTAGAGTTTACAACGTATTCCATCTATTAAATTAATTGATATCTTTGAAAAATGGTCAATTGAATTTAAAAATGATTCAGAATTAGCGTATATTCTCTGATTATTCATTCGAATAGAGTTTTTCATTTTTTTTCATATTTTAGATTAGCAGCTAGTTTTTATAATTGGGTTAAAACGGAATATCCAGATCTTGTGAAACAAGCAATGCATGAAAGACAAGTTAGTTTAAGAGAATGTTCTTATGAGATTATAATCATTTCATATATATTACTTTTTAACAAATGAATTCTTTCTTCCAGTACTATATCCATCCTTATATTCAATCTTTCTATTATATATTACCACCACTGAATTAACTACCTCTATGAATCCGGTGTTCATTTTGCTGTGCTAATGGGGTGTGACAACTTGGATCGATGCATATATTTGCCTGCTCTTACGTTGTAGCTCACTGACTGTTCCTGTAGTGTCATGTTTATTTATATACAACTATTTTAGTAATATCTCGGTTGTTATGTGTTTTGTTTCTCTCTACACAAAACATCTTTACAGACTAATAAAAGAAACTGGAATTATTAAATCAAGTGTAAGTCAGACTATTTCGAAAAAAGACGACGCCCTCATCTGCTCTCAGTCCAGATGTTTAGAACGATGGGCGGAACATTTCAGAGAACAGTTCAGCTGGTCTTCAGCTACTCTACAACTACCCTCCATTCCTAGACAGTGTGAATGGAACATTGAAGTAGGTCCCTCAACTCTAGCTGAAGTTCAGAAGGCTATAGTTAGTCTGAAACGAGGAAGGGCAGCTGGTCCAGGTGGACTGGCTCCAGAGGTCTTTAAGGATGGTTGTCCAATTTTAGCGATTAGGTTGACTAATATTTTAGCTAAAATCTGGGAGTTAGACGTTATTCCATCTGACTGGTCACAATCACTTATCGTCCCAATATATAAGAAAGGGTCAAAATCATCCTGTGACAACCATAGAGGGATTAGTTTAACTAATATAGTATCTAAAATACTAGCCTCGATAATTATCAGACGCCTAACTAAGACTCGTGAACTGCAAACACGAGAGAATCAAGCTGTCTTCAGAGCTGATCGTGCCTGCATCGACCACATATTCACCATTCGTCAGGTCCTAGAACATAGGCATACTTATCGACGTCCGATAATGGTGGTCTTTCTCGACTTGAAAGCAGCATTTGACTCCGTAGACCGCGAGATTCTGTGGCAGTGTCTGTCATTGAAAGGCGTACCCCAGAAGTACATAAACCTCGTAAAGGCCCTTTACTCGAACACTACTAGTCGAGTCAGAGCTTATGGCGAACTGTCATCTGCTTTTGCAACCACATGTGGTGTCCGTCAAGGCTGTCCACTTTCCCCATTTTTGTTTAACTTCATCATAGATCTACTGATGGGAATAACTTTCTCGTCGACTGAGGTCTCGGGTATTGATCTCCTTCCAGGAAGTCTACTTGTCGACATAGAATACGCAGATGACATAGTCCTGTTTGGTGAAGACGCTGATAAAATGCAGTCTTCTGGTAGCACTAAGGAACAATGCCAGAATGTTTGGGATGCGCTTCTCTCCCTCTAAATGTAAGTTGTTGCTTCAGGACTGGTCTGCGTCAACACCTGAACTAAGGATAGAGAGCGAAGTAGTCGAACGCGTTGACAATTTCACTTATCTTGGAAGTTTGATCAGCCTTAATGGGTTGGTGTCTGACGAAATCTCAGCACGGATTCGAAAAGCACGTTTGACTTTTGCCAACTTACGTCACCTATCGTGAACGCTAGATATTCGTCTATCAATTAAGGGACGAGTATACTACGTAATTAATAGTGAGGTTAGACGTAGAGTATTAGGGAATGATGATAGTAAATCAGTTGATAAGGTTGTGAATCTTCATCGACTGAGATAGTTGGGCCACGTGCTGCGTATGCCTGAACTCCGATTACCATGACGTGCAGTGCTGATTAGTGTTGGAGATGGATGGAAGAAAGTTAGGAGTGGCCAAACCACAATGTGGCATCAGTGCTTGAGGTCACTAACTTCTAGTCTTAGCCATGTTGGTAAATGTAGACTACTTGGTTGTGGTTCGCGTGACTATCGTAACCAATATTTGGAGACTCTTGGTGACATGGTTCATAATCAATCACAATGGCGTAGATGTATACACTCTCTGTCTTCCATTAAACTAAGAGATTAAAATCGCTTCATATCTTTCTTTATGCGTACTTATTCTTTCTTCCTGTGCTATATCCTTATACGCAATCTTTCTTTCATATATTACCACCATTGACTTAACTCCTATGAATCCAGTGTTTATCTTGTCGTGCTAATGAGGTGTGGCAACTTGTACCGATGCATATATGTGCCTGGTCCTAATTTGCAACTGACTGACTGAGACTGATATTAGGTATGTTTCGGTAAAGTTCAATAGTGAATTATTGTCGTAAGTGGTTATCTCAAGTTGTGTTCACTAAACTTGATATGGCAACTTGAGTTAGCGTACATTTATCCCTGGGTTTACACTGACTGACTAACTGAAGAGGCCTACCGTCAGTTACTACTTACCTTCCTTATTGATCTACTACAAATGACAGTCTCTTTTCAACACTTTGTAAACTGCTTTTTAGCACTAAATCATTGTAGCCTATCAAAAGTTCATAACGTATCTACTATTAGGTGTAAGCTCTAGCAAAATTCCGAATTTCCAATACTTTAAATAACAATATAAGCATATCTAAGATACATTTCTCACCTTGAAAACTGAAGAATATTGTCTCACAACTAACTTGAATCACCATCTCGTGTAACAGTAATAGATGAAATCATTTAGCGAATATAGATCGCTTTACTCACCAGAATCTTAATGAATGCCCAAAAGTTGGTCAGGTTTTTACTAACATCATCCATTTCTAACATCTAAAATATTCAAATACTTATCGCAAGATAAATGTATTTCACAGTAGCATACATTTTTCTCACTCTATTTGTACAACATAATCATTGAATAATGAAGGTAATCAAATGTTTTTGGAGGTACCTAATCGTAAATGTCACGTTATATTCATCTTACTTTGATCACTAGTATAAGGTATCTTTTTGGGAAATCTTATGGATACTCAATTGTGCATTTCTCCTACTGCTGTAATTAATCGTTCAAGCTATAAACAAGCCAGTGTAGGAAAGCGCAATTTGTTTGCGTATCCTAACCATCTGTGTTTAATGTTAGTTAACAGCTGTCAACAAAATATCACGGATTTATAATAATATTATGATAGGATATTGTCGATGCAGTTTTTCAAGTTCCAGTTATGGAAATTGTTATCTCTTGTAATCGCCAATTTGTTATGGCTCCAAATACTAATTGATATCACGTGCTATATTCTTAAATCAAAATTCAAACTCTCGATTAGCTCAATTATATTGCCGGTAGAACCGGTGACCTATTTACTAATTGACCAATGAACAACAACGATACCTTAACGTTTATTGGTCCTCCAGTTCCTCCTAAGTCAGTTGTTAATCAGAATATGCGAATAAGAGATAGATTATGACTCAAAGCACACAATCATCTACCTGAAGAGCTTGATGACCACATAGCACATAAAATAAGAAATCACACTTTAATCACAATCATACCCAAAAGTAGTAGAGGGTGAAGCAAAAAGTGCATAATTAACAATAACTAAAGAATGATAAAATGTATTATGACAGTTAATAGATGCACTGAATGTTTAAAATACGAGTAATATAGAGATACGATGATAAATTTATCAACTAGTTACGCAATAAAAATACAAATCATTCAAAAAATAGCCTTGAAAGTTCTGACTTTTTCCAATATTCATCCTGTTATTCATAGAAACAATCTATTGTGTGTTGTAATGCATGTCTTCATCATACTGATTACTTTATTCGTAAAGAGAGTATACGACATAATAATTATCTTTCCTAATATTTTACTTTAACAGATAGTTAAACATGGTCCTTCACGTCAACATGTTGCACAATTACAAGCTAAAGAAGAAGAAGATCTAGCACAAGGTAAATAACTTTTATATTATAAACTTCATTTGAATAGTTCCCCCTTATTATATATTATCATCCTATTTACAATAAACTTTATGTAGCTTTATCTTTGTATATGTTTTAAAAATGTTCAAAGCTTATTATTGTGGACCGCCGGGTGGCTACTCTAATTTCTACCGACTGACCAACTTCAGATATCCCAATACGACCCCCATACTGTTCCCAATCTCCAATATATCAGAACACGAACCGTAGATGAAAATTGTTTATGGGGTCAGGAGAAGAATAAGAATTTACAGAAAAATGCATATTTATACAGTTAGGACTACCGTGAATATTGACCAATAGGAAAATGACACCATTTCACGTTCAAGGATAGCAATTAGACTTAACAGGATAATTTTTAGGATATTTTTCTGAATATTCCAACACTTATCAACACAAAGAAACGTCTCAGTTACAGATTGTTATGCTCCTCAATAATTTGAGAAAAAATGAATCAGTTGAAATTCTGATATATTCTTCTCAAGTTCAAGTATGCTAGTTCGTCTATCGACTAATTGGTTAACTTGATAAATGTCTAGGCTATTATGAGTTAACTTTGATCACTAATGAAGTAGTCTTAACTTATTTATTTATTTATTTTATTTCAACACATAGATATTGGTACAAGGAGGCACCAAATACATATGCGCCACACAAATCTCATTTGGTATGTGTGAAGGCTGTGATACTGCCCGGGTGCCCAAACCAAAGCAGGTGGTTTTCTTAGGAGGCCACACCCTGAGCCTTCGACCTGAAGGTCTAATCCACAAGGCAGTGGAGCATCGTAAGGAGATTCAGTCCCATGGAAGCCGGGGACCAACAATTGGTTCATACGCTATTTATTCCCTCAGGTTACTGAAGCCCATGTGCACCATTGATTTGGTTTGGGATCCGGTTAAAGCGCCCTACATTCGCTTTTCGTCCTAACATTTTCGTAAACAACACCCCCTCCACGAGAAGGCAGTGAGTAGGACTTCCCTGGCAGAGGCTATATACGCGTGGCCATAAGAGAGCATTTCGAGAGGGGGAGCAGACTCTCCCCACCCTCGGCCATATCAGGGCATTTGGGGGCAATCTTAACTTATATAAGTTTTAGAACGTATACCCTTCTTCTAGCCCAGTTTTCAGTTTCATAGTTAAATATATAACATGCAATAAGGCAGTTGCATTTCTTATATTAATCTCTCATTACGATAGTATGGAATTATTTCCTGATCTGTACATCAACAGAAATGATAAATTACAGCACAGGCATAACTATATCAAAAGTGAAAGTAAGAAAAAGTTAGGTCACTAATCAACTATAACTAAGGAATAATAAATTATACAACGATAATTAATGGATCTATGAATAGTTTACAATAATTTTAATGTAGAAGGCAATAATAACACAGTTATCTAATTATTATGCAATAAAAATGTGAATGATAATCCGCAAATTAGTTTCAATGTCTTCAATATTCAATCCGTTATAACACAAATAGTGTCTTTCTTGAATTCCAGTATTCCTTCATTCATATACCTATTCACTCAGTGTTTCCAAATATTTGGGGCCCCCAAATTCCCTGGTACGGCCGAGAGTGGGGAGAGTCCACTATCACATGGCCACGCGTATATAGCCTCTGCCAGGAAAGTCCTACTCACTGCCTTCTCGTGGCGGGGGTGTTGTTTACGAAAATGAGAGGACGAAAAGCGAATGTCCGGCGCTTTAACCGGATTCCAAACCAATGGTGCACATGGGCTCCAGTATCCTGAATAAACAAGTGGTGTATGAACCAATTGTTGGTCACCGGCTTCCATGGGACTGTGTCTCCTTACGATGCTCCACTGCCTTGTGGATCAGACCTTCAGGTCGAAGGCTCGGGGTATGGCCCCCTAAGAAAACCACCTGTTTCGGTTTGGGCACCCGGGCAGTATCTCAGCCTTCACACATCGAATGAGATTTGTGTGGCGCATATGTATTTGGTGCCTCCTTGTACCAATATCTATGTGTTAAAATAAATAAATCCAAAGATTTAGTATTTTTTTTATCACTCCTACTAAACTATTCTAATCACTTTTTATTTTTTATTTCATCTTGCTAATCTCGGGTATGGGGAACTTGGGCTAACATATATGTGTCAGGTTCCATATTGATAATATCTGTTTGTTTACGTCATTTTGACTTTTACCACTTATTTTTTCAATAACTAAGAGTTTCACAGCTATTTCGTTGGGTATAGATAACCTGGTTGGTGTTCATGTGACCTGAAACGAAAAAGTTCAAAATCGTTGTCAACAGAGCAGGTGCATTTACTCTTATCTCTTGGAGCCCAACATCTTATGGCTTTTTTTTACAACTACTGATACTGTTAATGATTCTTGATAATATTCTCTTGTTGGGCTATTGTAATGTGACAAATTAAGTTGACGCACACATATGTCAGGTTCTATATTACATATGACTGACTGAATAGTCTTCTTTTATTTGTGATTAGATTTTAGTAGCGATAAACACTATCTGAACATTCTTACACTGTCATTCTAAGCATTTGAATACTGCATTGTATTAGCTTCATATAAAACTGTGTCATCCATGTACTTCCGGTTAAAATGATGCGGGGTCCTCAGATAGACAGTCAATCTGTGGATATTCATGAATAGATTTGCAGAAAAATGTTAATTTAAAATTGATCAACGCTAATGCTCAGTTTCATCATGGGCTGTACATTACATGTTTTGCAAACAATGATATTTTGTCTTCTGTCAGAGATAGATATGTTGTTAATTTTTTAATCCCAGTTTTACGTATCTCTATTTATTCTTTCAATAGCTATTGCTTTATCACTGAAAGATACTGACAGTTCAACGCCATCTAATCTAAACAAGCAATCTGTTTCCACTTCAAATGAGAAGTCTAGTTTATATCCTTCCTGCTCTCAACTTCCATTTAGTTCACTTTCAACTTATTCGACACCAGCATCATCATCAAATGCCTCTAAAACAACTGCTCCTCGCAATTCAAAGGGACAGGTAAGAGCATTGTACGACTTTGAAGCAGCTGAAGACAATGAATTATCATTTAAAGCTGGAGAGCTTATCCTACTCTTAGATGATTCCGATGAGAACTGGTGGCTTGGAAGCAATAATCAAGGTCAAGGTTTATTTCCTGCTCAATTTGTCAAACGTGAAACTGAACTTGATGGAATAAATAATGTCAAATCAAGTTCAAGCGAAGTTTCTCACAATACAGATGTTAAAAAAAACCAATCTACCAAAAAAATTGTCCCCCAACTTGATGAGAAAAAAATCGATGAATGTTTACGTCTAATTACAACTGTAGATCCTACTGGTGAATTTCAACAAGATCCACCAGAATTAAGTCAACTTGAAGCAGAATGTATAGCAATGGTTCCACTTGTTGATCCTGAATTAAAATTAGTTGATAAAGAAATTATTATGCTTACAGAATTAAATCAACGTTTATTAGATGCATTTCAATTGTATCATGATATCATGTCACGTCAGAATCCGTCAAATGCTTATTATACTGGAATGTCCAATACTATTGCTAACACCACGACTAACCCAATAAATCCAACAATCTCTTATTTACCACCAAATACTCCAAATATATATCCATACACCCAGCCAACATCGTCGATGACTAAATCTGCATCTGCAGTACCTATGGTATGTATGTACTATTCATTCTTATTATTACGTAATCACCTTGGTCCATAATTCACTTCTTCATTTTTATTGCTACATAACTAGTTGAGCGACAGAAATATGATGTTTGTTTTTGTTGTTGTCATGAGTGTTGATCTATATATTGTATTATTTTTATTGGGAATTTATTTATGTAACTGATGGATATATCTATCAATGATCTTCAAAATTATCACATTGAATACTAGATATTGTAGAGGTTCCGTTTGATTTGAGAGTGAAAGGTCGACAAATTGGAGTCGGGACTTCACCAAGTCCTCTGGTACAGCTTAGGGTGTGGATAATCCACTCTCCCTCTCCGAACGCTCACATAGCCACGCGTACGTACATGCCCCATTCGCTGACTTTTCACAGCAGGAGCGTTTCTTACGAAATTCAGAGGGGAAAAAGCAAATGTCCAGGGGGCTTAAACCGGGTTGATGGGTAAGGAGGATCCATCTAGAAGAGTTGAAAAAGTCTTTGGTACGGCTTTTAATAATAGTGCTTTAGAACCTCGCGGTTAACAGAGTCGAACCTGCCATAAGGTCAAAGAATACCACTATAGTTGGTCGTCGGAAAGTATGTCTGTGTTTCAAAACCTGGTGATGAGTGAATATCTAGTCAATACAACCATGTCTGATACTCAGGTCGGGTACAAATTGACAATAAACTGCACTTCTAACAGTAGTATCCTTGATGTGATGTCATAATCATCATGTTCATTCAATTTAATAAACGATTATCTTCATCCAAATCTTGCTCATCATTGTGTTTCTTCTATAGTTTTGCAACCACCTTCATGATTGTACGTCTCTTAAAGAGAACTTTGTGCTTTTTATTCAAAGCACGTTATTCTATGTTGAATTTCTCCTTGATTAACTCAGTTGAACGATAAAACATTTTTCACATATTATCTTTTAGAATGGATTCACTATGCCAACAGATTTGAATGGAACTGTGATGTTCCCTCCTACTAACTCTTACCCTATGTCAACTGGAATTTATGCAAATCCACAAACAGAAAATTTCAGTGGTAATCTTCCTCAAAATCTTCATAGTGGTCAAATATCATCTCAACCCTTTCCTGTACAGCAGTTTTATGAATCAAATCAAATAGTACCTCCTGATGTTGTTACACAACAAATGCAATCATATCCATCTAGCAGTAACAATTATGGAGGTAGGTATAAAGAGTATACGTGTGTGTTTTAAAAATCGCTTTCTTCAGTTCCCTCTCTCTACCCCTTCCATCATCCTCATCCATCTCTTTCTTTTTTTTTTCCTAATGTAGTTCCAATTTATCCAATGAATGATTCTCAATCTATGGTGTATACAGATCAATCAAACAACACCCTCTCAACTCAGAGAAAACAATAACAACCGTAGGTTTCATCTAGTTTCATAAAAAAAATGGTAAGTTTTATGTTGTTGTTTTTTTTCATTTCAATGTCAGTCAGTCAGTCAGCTACAACGTAGGACCAGACACATATATGCGTCGGTCCAAGTTGCCATACCTCATTAACACAACAAGATGAACACCGGATTCATAAAAGTAGTTAATTCAGAAGTGGTGGTAATATATAAAAGAAAAATTGCATATAAGGATATAGTAGAGGAAGAAAGAATTAGTTCGTATAGTTCATTATACCAGTTTCTAATGTATGACCATAATGTAGATTTTCATTTCTATCATAAACTTGAACTGTTCTCATAGTTTTATTTTATCGTACTGTCGTAGAGCGGTGACTTAGTGATTAAGGCGTTCGACTTTAGTTTAAACTCCTCTCCACCTACTTCAGTTTGTCCAACTAGGTTGTAGTATCGTTAACTTTTACATTTAGAGTGTAGCTCATTTTCAAGTACCTGGTCAATAATTAATACTGCTATTTAAATAAGATAATGATGAAACTCAATATGAATAAATTCTATTTTATCGTTGATTGATATCCTAAACAGAAATGGTGTGTTTCTCAGATCTGATTAAGTTTCCCTATTTATTTAAATACATAAACATTGATACACTGAAGTACCAAAATATCATATGCACCATACAAAGTAATTATCACTAAATTTGCGTATGGGCTGGGATAATGCCCAGGTGCCCAAACCAAGGCAGGCGGTTTCCTCAGGGGGGCACCAACGACCTAGCCTTTGACCTAGAAGTCTTATCCACAAGACATTGGGCCAACATTAGTAGGTGCGATACCATGGTAGTCGGTGATCGAAAATATTTATTATTATTTATTTATTTATTTGAACACAAATATTGGTACAAGAGAGCGCCAATATATATGCGCCACACGATCGAAAATAAGTTCACACACAATTTGTCCCTAAATGGTCATGGAGTCCATGTGTATCATTGGTCTGGAATCAAGATTTTCCAACTCTCTTAGATGGATCCTTCTCCACCAACCCGGTTTAAGCCTCCATTGGACATTGGCTTTTCTCCTCTCAATTTCATAAACAACACTCCTACTGCGGGAAGAACGTCTTTGGTAATGGGTATGTAGTAGTATGTACGTACATGTGACCATGCAAGAAAATTCGGCGAGGACTCTTCCCAAACTTGACCTAACCAGGACATTTAGCAACCTAGATGTGCACCATGTTAAAAGTGATAAGCATTTGTGTTCAAATAATCACTGGTTATCGTTTTATGCGTAGTATATCCAGATTAATGAACAAGAAAGGAACGGTTTCACAGAGAATTTCATCCAGGAAGTATGCATTCTAATTCACATCAGTTGTTTGATAATCATAATAACTACCTTTATTGTAAGGGTAAATAAGTATTTACTCAATTGTATGGTTATTCCTCACTTTTCTCCGCGATATTAACCACTTACCTCATGTTACGTATACATACATCAAATGATCCTTGTTTTTAAACTTTTTCATTAGTATTCCGTCATTAAATTGTAATCGATTTTATTTTCTCTCTTCAGCTAGGAATCCTGAGAACCATTTTATTCATGAAAATGAAAGATATGCTATCAAGACGGGTTTTGTTCTGTTTTTTCACAAAAGAAAAGTTTCATTCCTTCGATATATAATAAACAAATGATTTCTTTTATAAACAAATACCTTCAGTTAAGTAAGCTCTAATAAACTTTAACCGTTTTCAATTTGTCTTTCATTCTCAAAAGTACTACTCACTAGTAGTAGTTCATCTGTTTGTTTGTTCTTTTTTGTCTGTAAACTTCTATCAAATTATCTTCATTCTATCATTTGTGATTTCATTAAATATAATTATTATAAATAATTGTAATTATTCATTGTACTTACATAATTAAATGGGATCTCATTAATACCTTTTTATTCAAATGATTCATAATTACAATGATTAAGATCATGAGTCAGTTGAAGCTAGACCACCATGGAAAACCTGGAAGCACTGGACGGCCATTTTGTCCTACTGTAGGACTCCTCGGCAGTGCGCATCCATGACCTCGCCCCCTGCGAGATTCGAACACAGGGCCTACTGGTTTCACGCGCGAACACTTAACCATTAGACCACTGAGCCGGCATCCAACGATGTTAATGTCTAACTTCAACAAATCCACAAAATTGAGCGACATATCCACCATTGTCTTCAGTGAGTTACTATCTCACAACAGACCTGGTTGAACTCCACTGGTCACTACTTCTCAGTAGAACTCCAGGATATACCTCGTGAAGCCAGTCACTAGTAAGCATATGTTGATTAATATCAGATGGGTTTCGTGGATATTATAGTAATTTCAATGGTTAAGATCATGACTCATGATTACTATAATATCCACAAAACCCATCTGATTCATAATTAATTGAGGTTAGTACTACGGATTGTATGTGTTATCACTTGTATAATATAAGTTTGATAAACGAGTACTGAACACTAGATGGTAAAATTCGATGGATACAATGCGTTTGAAGTGAAAAACAAAAGAAACTTGTTTGTGAGATCAAACTATTTACACAAACTGCAAAAAATGAATGAATTTTACAGAATAAACTACTAGGTAAAAGAATAGGTTTTTTATGATAATCAATTCCCATGCTTATTATCAGGAGAAGCGAACGTTTTGTGGACCACTTGCTCGCCAATCAATTAAGATCTGACTTGAATTATTTATTGATCTAAACACAAATGTTGAGACAGAGGGGTACCAAAATATGTGTACCACATAATAAGAAAGAGATAAAGAGAGGAAGGTAACCAAAAAGTATTAAAAAATTAATGATAGAAGCATTTCAATTAAAAAATATACAATCACAAAGGATTCTTTTAGATAATGAAGTTACACCAGAACTGCTACTGGCTTCTATCCTGGGTCATGTTTATTAACGTCGCAAGCCACTAGATCCGTGAAGGACAAACAGATGTCATACACTGACCACCTTCGCTTTATACAACCATCAACAAATAGTGCACGATGTGGAATCTGCTTGGATGACATTCGTAGTACATGTGCAAGCCACCGAAGTCGATGCTTCAAGATTGTGACTCCAATTGAATTATCATCACTGACTATATTAGACCGGATTCTAGGGTTACTGTCGATCTCAAGCCCGGGTAAACGAGAATAGTTGGGCAAGAGGTCAGCTACCCCATCCCATAGAAAAAAACGCTAACCAGAATAAACTGGGAGTTGAGGGAAGAATTATGAAAGCCGAGATTCTTCGAGTCTGATTCCCTTCATAACAACTAGAAAAATTATTATTATAGGTACATGGAATGTTCGGACAATATGGGAAACCGGAACGACTAGTCAAATAGCTGCAGAAATAAGGAGATGCAACTTGGTAGTGCTCTGAATCAGTGAAACCCATTGGACCGAAGCTGGATGTTATATGTCGACGAGAATAATGAATGGTAACTGTTGCGACCTATTTGTAGGCTAATACTATACATATATTTTTATTGTATAATTGCTAAGTAACTAGATTATGTATATTTATTTCGACCTATAGACTATTATTATACGATTTTTCATTCTTAATTTATACCCAGTTCATTGACTAGTCACCCACAGTCGCAGACTTTTTGGCTTGGTCTTGCACAAATGTTATTTTCTATTTTATGGTCTTTGGTTCACCTATAAACCCGAATGACATTTCCTAAAACCCATTCACACTTACCGCCTATTAGTGACCAGCCTCAGTGAACTCACCGGATATTGAAGCAGCACCTACAGACTTTCCTATAGATGTCACTCCACCAACGATCAAAGTAGTCAGCATGGCCATCAGACAAATCAAGAGCGGGAAACAGCAAGACCAAACAACATATCAGCTGAAGTCAGACATAGAAGTAACTGCAAGTATGCTTCATGTTTTATTCAGGAAGATTTGGGAGTAAGATCAAGTGCCGACGGACTGGAAAGGAAGATATCAAAGAAAGGCTATAACGAGTGTGAGAACCACAGAGGCATCACAATCACTATGAGTATCAAGAAAATTTTTAAACTGTTGAACTGACTCTTATGTGATATGTGAATTTCAGCCACATAACTGTTAGTATCTACTAGAACATGATACGTAGTTTGTTGCGTAATCAGTTGTCCTCAATGGAAACATGCTTAGAGGTGAATTGATTGACAAATACCTCTAATTCCTCATTGAATTAATTAAATTAATCCTTAGCATACTATATGCGTAATATCGGTGCAATTTTTGGCCGTTTGTTTTTACCATACCTAATACTGTAAACAGTGACATTGCTCGCAACACTGAACACTAGTAGTGTACCATGAAATCCATCCCTAGTAGGATAAATAGATTATGTCGCGACAGTTCGTATACTGGTTGTTTATTGTTATTTCATTTTTGCATTTAATCTAATTTATGAACAGAGGAAACTTGAACAGGTAGCCGAATGACTACAGCACCGTTTAAGACATTTTTGGTTGGTACTTGTCGATAGTCAATTGTCAAGTTCGTCTAAGAATAAAATCGGACCGGGATACTGTTTCATTCATAAATCCGAATGATATTTCTGAAACTTACTGTTAATACATTTTTTAGTATATTTATGTTAACTATCACTTGATAATTCAGATAATTTGCACTTGCATTTCAACAAGACTAATTATAGAAGTAATCTTACCTAGAACTACTTGGATGACGTTCATCTCTTATTCAAAAACTATTTCGAACTTTAAAACAATGAGATGCAAATTTTATTTCCTCGGTAACTCGTTCAGACATTCACTTTGTACGATTTGTTTATTAATGAACTTGATGTGTGCACATACGTTACACATTATATGTGGTCGTTCATCATTACAGTTAATTACAAAATTACTAACTGGTCACGGCTTCTCACTAAAACGCTGGCAATTTTCAAACTTAACCATTCAATAACATTAAACAATCTCCACAAACCTCTATTC